GGACGGAGATATGATTTCTTGAAATTTTTAGCCCTTCAATGCCTCGTGGAATTTAGCTACAAAGTTTACGCAGATCGGTCTTGGCGCCAATCTCTGGGCTTCATTCTGTAGAGCTTGCTTTGTTCTATCGGTTGGTACCCTTTAAACTTGATTTCGTGCTCACTCGGCCGCGACATTGCATGATGAAAGACGATGCGACATTATTTTCCGGACAACCCAATACAACCGAATCCTGATCATCTCAGTTGCAGGAACAGGTGTGGGCAATATGAAAACACAATTGCTCACTGATGCAATAAAGTTTCATAATTGCTCTACAAGCAGTCGGTGTGATTTCATCAAAAATCTTTTTTATAGTTCGATGGCTCAAAAACGGCAGGACATCCAAGGGATACGCGGCTGGGCTATTGCTTTGGTCGTCACATTTCATTTCTTTCCTGCTTATTGCCCGAATGGTTATGTGGGAGTAGACATGTAAGTAACTTCTCTTTACAAAGGATTTAAAATTTAAACTTCTCTTTACAACGTCTGAATTTTTGGAAAAAGATTTCCGTTTATATGGGCTTTTCTTCCCACTGATTACGAAAATGGGCTTGGAACCTCAAAGGGCATTGCAAAAACTTGATCTGAAATTTGGACGACTGCCAAGGTTAGGCGCCGTTGTGGGACCCTGCATCTTGACTGTGGACGATATACTCACTCTGGCTTCGGTTTTAGGGCGGGAAAGTCGTGATGCGTTCTAATCATCACTTCTGAGGCGGTTATTATGCCTCAGAAGTATATTGGCGCAATACCACTTGAGTAAGAGCTTTACCAGGGACGGTTTATACCACTCCCCCGTTCGAGTAAGTGTTACCGTACAGGTCGTAATTCAGTACATCCGCTACCATGGTGCGCGAAGCTGGGCGCTGACGTGCAGGAGCTCGGTCAGGCAGAATCGGGGCTGACCTACCTACCCGATCTTGCTTGGCTATAGCGCGTCTTATCAATCAGGTGACCGAAAACGTCAGTAAATCAAACTATTTGTTCACTAGTCATCAACGAAAACCTGATAACTGTTTGGTAACAAAGATTTGTCTAACTTGAGTTTGATTTGGTTTAGTCTCGAGATCTACAGAATCCAGAGCCCAGACGGGAAAGATCGGGATCTTGCAACTCTCCAAATTTTGTTATTGTATCAAATAATCTCAAAACAGGCAAATCTCTTGCAAACTAATCATTAAGTCTTACTCGTTGACTGATGAATAAATGGTTCGACTACCGTGGCCACCTGATCAAAGAAACGCCCTCTTCGAATTTACAAACTTACTTGATTCTGCTGCCTGGGCTCTTGTAAGATAAGGCGCATTATTGCACATCATGGGCATGGGGGTCCGCGTCTGATTGGATTACGACCTGTACGGGAACATTACCCGAACAGGAGAATGTTACATACTTTCCTGGCATGGGCGTCATTGTACTCTACAATTTCATGTCCGGTCGGACCCCGCCTTCAAAACACTTCCAGAAAAGTTTGTGCAATTGCTACTATAAACTACAATCCAGGTTCTTCGTGGTATCTGGCTTTCTCATGGCTATGATCATAACAAGGATGGAGATGACAGCTTCGTCTTACTTGAATTACTATTACAGAAGGTTATCATTTAGAGTTATTTAATTACTGTACAGGTAAGAAGCAAAGTTTCAGAATCAAGCGAATATTACCGCTGTATTATATGACCTCCGCTGCGATATTACTGTATGTAGTGTTGAGACTACCTTCATTTCGGTCTATAAACTTTCCTAGCTCACGCAAAGCTGTACTTTTAATTACAAATATCAGGCTATCTGAGAACGATCCTGTCATGGATTATGAAAAAATGGTAATGTTTTCGAATCAATTTTGTCTGCACCGATGCACAAATAGCTTCAGCTGTCAAATGCAGACGATCTCTTTACGCACACCTGGTCTTTATCTGTCGAGATGCAGTGGTATTTGCTAGCCCCGCTTCTCTTCTTCGTACAAAATTTGATACCACTGCGGAGGACGATATTCTTACTAGGTTAGTCGCGTTGCGCTGAATTATGTCTGTTTGCAAAACTGTATTTTAGGGATCACATTTACTTCTCTCGGTTTCTATCTCGCTACTGACAGCAACGCTGCTTTCTACAACACATTTGCTAGGATGTGGCAATTTTGTTTTGGCATAATCGCCTTTGTGAGTAGCGAAAATGTGAGCTTTCCTACATATACTGCGGTTATCATCACTCCCGTGATTTATCATCCTCACCCATCGTTAGCGTTTTTCTATCCACCCTAAATAAGGTTGAAGTTCATACCATAACGCTTTCCGGGAACGTTGATATACTCGTATTGATTTTAATTGGCCCTGCATAGTTTCGTATTTGTGTGTGCCTAGATTAATAGATATCATCTGACAGGATTGCGTCTTGAGACATCTTCAAGTTCTTAGCAAGCAGATCAAAATCTGACTTCAAGGTCATTGTAACTATTGCAACCATTCAGACTCGTAAATTTGATTGCGCACTCAAACATGGTTTGATCGAAAGCAACAGCCCACAATTTAAACTAGCTGTACTAACACTAATCACTTTTAGCGTTGCGTTGAACTGGATAAGCGGTTTTTGGCGTAACTCTCAAGAAAGTTTCTTGAGGGACAGGGGGTTTTGTCTTAGGTACAGCAGAAATATTAAACAATTCCGTATTAGCTACCACTAATGAGTGCATTTTTGCGCTAGAATCTCGTTTGTTTTACATTTTTTACGATCCATAGGGTGGTTCCAGATGGAATAACTACAAAGATATGCAGTAAAATGAATTGACGAATTCCAAAAAACTTCACTTTGTCTCTTAGTAGCGACCCTACGGGTCGCTAGTAAGTATGTCGGGCAGATACAACATCATGCTTAGATGTTACTGCAAATATCTTTACATAAATT